TAGGCTCTTGGGTTAATGTCTACATTTCTCCAGCTCACGGGCTTGGAACAAGCCCATACTTAGAGCTTACATCTTCGAATTCGTGCATGCATGAACATGCGAGTAAACAAAACACGGCAGATCAAGAGGGGGGAAAAAACCAAGCAAAAAAAAAAACAAAACGAATCAACAAAGGTGTGAACATGCAAAACACAGACATAAACTGTTCCCGCGCTCTGTTCATTCAGGACACATCTGAACAGAAAATGTGGCCAGTTTCAAACTAATGCCTACATTTCACCAGCTCATAGGTTTGGAACAAGCCCATACTTGGAGCTTACATCTGCGAATTCGTGCATACATGAACATGTCAGCAAAGAAAACACTGGAGAGAAAGGGGAAAAAAAAAAACAAAGCAAAAAAAAAAAAAAAAACAATGACCGAAGGTCTGAACATGCAATGCAAAACACAGAGAGAAAATCAAACTGTTTCTGCACTCTGTTCATTCAGGACACATCTGCACAGTAAACAAGGTCAAAGACAGACCTAAAAAAAAAAAAAAAAATCCAACCTGGATGACCAATGAACACAAAACGTTGCGGTCGTCTTCTCTCCCCTCACGTTGAATATAGGCCGCTAACATATCTTGCCATGTACCTTCACCATTCCCCCTTTGGGCCTTTGTTTACAGCCTCCTCCGTTTTCCTCCCTTGCCCTTTCACACACCCCTCCCTCGTTTCCTCCCTCTGCCATTCCATACACATCCCTTGCCTTTCGAAACACCCCTCCCCCATTTCCTCCCCTGCCCTTCCATACACACTTCTCATACACAATAACACAATAATCACCGCTGCCTGCCTTCTCAGAACACGTGCCGTAATCACCGCTGCCTGCTTCATCACAACACGTGCCATGCCTCCCAACAACAAAACAGCAATAACCGTAACGCCACAACACCACAGCACTAATCGTAAACCGTCAAACTCTTTGCACCATTATCGTTGTCTCTACAACAAGCGACCCAGCCCACCTTCGCTTCCTCCCATCCTTCTTCCGTGAGATTAGCCTGCAGACTACGGGATTCCCACTGCTCCCACCACACCACACACACAACGACGAAATGTCTCACCGCCATGGCAATGCACTCTCATGAGAACGCATTGCAATCTCGCCATCACAACCGGCACCTCCGCACCGTCACCTCTGCAATCCCGCTGTCAACTTAACGCACAACCGCCGTCATAGTCGCATTGTGGCAGTGTGCCTCATCAGGATGCCAACGCAATCGCACACCGTCGCAGTGAGAAGCCACGACAACAAAACTTTCCTCCCCTCCCTGGACCACTCAATGCTTCCCGCCTCCCAACCCCTTCGATGGTAGCCCTGCCCCGTCCCACCGTCCACCGCTTCTCAACGGACCACTGCCCTTTCCGACCCGCCTGTTCATCCCGTTTCGTTTTTCTTTTCCCACTTGTCTACGTCTGCACATAGTCGGAAAGGTTGTTATGTGCATCACGCAAAACGACAATCTCAACTTGGAAAAAACCCTTACGTTCATTTCTTACTAAGTGTTTTGTAAAATGAGAAAAAAAACTGCATATAGTCGGAAAGGCTATCATGTATATCATGCAAAACGACTTGGTCCCTGTGTCGTCCCACCGTCCACCGCCTCTCAGTAGACCGCTGCCTTTTTCGACCGGCCTGTTCATTTTTTTCGTTTTTCTTTTCCCGCTCGTCCACATTTGCACCTGGTCGGAAAGGCTGTCATGTACATCACGCAAAACGACAATCAGAATGTGAAAAAAAAACTTTTTCCTCTCGCCTACCGTTCCACGGTCATCCCGACACTCTGTGGACCACATACCACATACGCCCGTGCTTACGACGTGTTTTGTAACATGGGGAAAAAAATTGCATATAGTCGGAAAGGTCACCATGTACATCGTGCAGAGCGACGATGTGAACGTGGAAATAAAATGAGAAACAAACCTGCAAATAGTCAAAAAGGCTATCAAGTACATTACGCAGAGTGACGATGTGAATGTAGAAAAAAAACTTCTCCGGAAAAAAAAAAAAAAAACCGTCAAAACAAAGCGGAATTTTTTTTATTTTTATTTTTCCCAACCGCTTTTCCACAACAACACTTTTTCCCAACCGCTTTTCTACAACAGCACGTACACGTACAATGCATCAGATGTGACATGTTGGCCTGAACCTGGATCGCATCTGACCATAGATAAATCCACAATCACAGAGATTCAGGGTATCAATACAATTCCTCTTCGGGCATAAGAATTCGGTCGACCACCGTTTTACAGAATTTGTGTAGAATCCTATGCACATATCTACACATATATACACAGTTACTTACAGTCACAACTGCAGTTACAGAAAACAAAAAAAACGAAAAAAAAAAAAAACGGCCAACCACATTAAAAAAAAAAAAAAAAAAAAAAAAAAAGCACATACAAGAACAATACATCAGATCTCACGCGCTGAACCTAGATGCCATGTCAACCCAATTCCTCTTTAGACATGAAAGCTCGGCCGACTACTGTTTTACAGAATCTGTGTAGAATTCCACGAACATATACATATATACAAAAAAAAAGGAAAAAAATAAAAAACTGGCCAACCACATGTGCCGAAAACATACACCATTTCGAGATGGCCCCCCGACCCCGATTACTCGATAAACCGGTCGGGGCATTGGAACGAAACAAAATGGGACCACGCCCTCATTTTTTTTTAAGGAGACCATATCCCAACCCGTTTTCGAGGCCTCTTCGACTTCGTTCACCCTCCCAACTACCCTCGCACCTCACGGCCAGCGGGTCGCTGCACAACGACCTTTTGTTCCTACGTCCAAACGACGAGGTATAATGCAACCTACGGGCTGCAAACTACAAAGATGTCAGTGGCCGTGGCGGGGCGAAAAAGAGAAACTGGATCCCACAAGGCCGACTTCTTCGGTGGTTTTCCTGGACCCGCGACGGTTCTTTATGGGATGTTACAGGCCTCACGGACTCCGCCAACCGAAATCTCACACAACGGTGTGGTCCACAGACATTCCTGGTGTTGCAAATGGATAAACGAGAAGAAAAAAAAAGTTAAAAAAAAATGCTCCATCTTTTTCGTTGCGGAGAAGCCCTCACGGTCAAAAAAAAAATTGTAGTAACTACGTTTGCTCCCTTCGCGGACATGCTGCCACGGCACACCCAAACAAAAGTAAGGCAAAATATTTCGGCGGCCCCGACAACGTCGGAAAGTGGTGGGATTTGAAAACTACACTGTAACTGGGCTGTAGTGTAGTGGTGGGATCAGACTCGTAGTGGTTTTCCAGACCCCACAGGTGTTGGAAACCGGTGTGGAAAGTAGGCCTGGAAAGGAATTCCAAACCCCACCATACTTGGAAGCAGGTCGCAAAAATGTTGACGGGGTGTTTCTACTCGGTCGGCAGTCTGGAAATTCAATGCCGACCGCTTTCCATTCCCTTTCCAAGGAGGCGTCCAGACGAGTAGGGGGGGCAGCACGTCCATCCGTTTCCAGACAACGGCTAGACGGCGTGGAACACGCACCGTTGTCGTGGACCGTTTTCTTGACCGGGAGGCGAGCGCGGACATGCTCTTCTTCTTTTTGTCGTTGCACAGTTCCCCCAAGGGCCCAGGGGTCTGGGCCATCCATGCTCCCCTCACTTTACGAACGGCATGCTGCAACATTCAAAATTCGAATTTTTGGCGGGCCTAGTACGAAGGTCAGCTATGCCATTGCAACAATCATTTTTTCCTGCACATGCATGGGGAGCATGAGCAGTGATTCCGGTAGCTGGTTGTCGCTGACACCTCCACTAAACCCTCCTGCCCTGCGTAGTCCGCGCATGATGTCATCGCTCATCTCCTTCGTGCGTGCAGGGCGCGAGGCCTGTCTACGGGGAAACCGTTTCAGGTGCGGTCTCTGGCCGGGGCTTGCATTCGGAAGTTGTGGGTTGTATGTCGAGCAGTGTCTTTGTAATGCGCGGATGAGAACCTGTGTTGTCGGTGTGTGCACGCGCGCACACATACAGACCGATGCTGTGCTCCCGTGTTGTGGCCGTGACACATTCCTTGCTCCGTCGTCTACCTCCCTTGCCATCCTCACTTCTTCGTCTACCTCGCCAGGGCGTTCATTTGTCCTCGCCAGAGAGCAACCCCAGCACATGTGGGCAGGGATGGGTTGCACATGAGGATGTGGTTATAGATCCTCATCCACACACACACCACGTGTCAGTCGTCGAACGCTATCGTCGCTCGTGTGGATGTGACCGGTGCCATCGACGCTGTTGTGTGGATTTTGTCATTAACAACCAGTGCAGCGGAGGCGGGGGACGAAAAAAACCATCTTGGGCTATTTTTGTAGGCGTGGTTACGGTCGTCATCATCCTTTCAAAAACTTTCTTCTTGTCGTTCGTTTTTTGGTGCGTGATCCTATACTTTTGCTGTCATGGGTGGAGATAGCACCGAAGGGATGGTCTTGGAGGAAGCAGTACGTGGTGTTGGGTGTTGCCTTCGTTGTCGGTGCTTCGCAGAAAAATGGAGTCATATCGGTCGACGACAGATCCCTGTGCAGGCATTGATGGGGGCTTCCAGTCCCGGGACATGCCTACGCAAGGATCTGTCCTGTACTCCTCGCCTTCACCTGCGACGACGCATTCCTTCGGTGGCCAGTTGCACGAGGGTGTGCGGGCCAGGCCGATTCATGTCCCACCTACTCCATTGCCCTCTCCATCACTGCTCCATACCCCAGGTGCACGTCAGCGGTTTGCTGTTCGGCCATCTGCACACACTCTACACGAGGGCCCCGTGGACACGGGCCAAGCCTCATATTGCACACAGGTTCGAGGTGGGTATGGCATGCCCGGTCCACACACGTTCCTAGTCGGCGGTGGGTATGGCATTGCCACGCACATGTACCCCACCTAACATACTGTGGAAAGGGGTGGAGTAATGAGGGATGATTGGCAGTGGTCTCCGTAGTGTGGACAGGCGTCGCAGGCGCTGCATGGCGGAGTGTCCACTCCATCGCCCATGTCAGTCAGGCGGTTTGTTGTCGAGCCTTCACCTTCAATGGTGGATGTGCAAGGAGAGGATATGGATAGGGGGTGGCCCGTGTACAGTGCTACTTCGTCCCCTGCCGGGTTGAAAGGCCGTTCCTTTGCTGGAGACGAAGATGAGTATGTTGACGACGATGAAGGTGGAGGTGATTGCAGTACCACTAATGCACAGAACTCCGACAATGTGCAGAACGACATGGACAATGTTGGCCAGACAGATGGGGGGAAGAATGTGGTCGGGCCCCAAAGCAGCAGGTGTGGAAACAAGCTGGGGGGGAAAGATGGTGCTGCCAGAAACAAGAAACAGAACATCCCGTGGAGCTTGGAGGAGAGGATCACACTGTCGAGATTGATGGCCGAGGATGACGCCCTAATGGCCGACGCTGAGGGCCAGCATCGGTTCAAGAAGAGGAAGGGGCGGTATGAGTGGGTACACGATCGAATGGCGGATCACAGGTTTCCGCACAGGTCAGCAGAGGATTGTCGTAAGAAGTGGCAGGGCATGATGGCTGTAGCGAAGTTAATTCTCGACAAGTGTGAGGATGCTTCAGGCAAACCTTCATTATGCGACATGACTATGGAGCAGCGGAAGGCGGACCAAGTGCCAGTAGACTTTGAAAAAGCATTGTGGGAAGCGATGGAGTGGCAACTGAATCGACCTTCCATCAAGTGTGACAACACGCTAGCGTTGGAGAATTTATCGGGTAATGCGGGAGGGCCATCAGCGGAGACCGGTCCACCACAACACTCGTCGGGGAAAAATGGTTCCGGCGGTAAAGCAACGGAAGATTCCGACAACTAAGCAAAGATGCGGGGGACGAATACTGGCAAAGGTAGGATGGACAACACGACCAGCGGTGGGACAGTATTGGGGAGGGCGATGGAGGACGCAACACGGTCTTACAACGAATGGCTGGATAAGGTCGCTACCACTATGGCGAAGGCAACGTTGGCACTAGCGGTTAATGGAAGACCAAAAATTCGAGGTTTTTCTTCGCGTCGTTACAAGCCAAAATTCGCCGAATTTTGGGCCTTCCATTAACTGCCTCTCAACATCGGAGGCCAGCTCAGCGATCGGAGCGAAGATTGGTGATGTTGCAGATGCCATGCGTGGGGGGAACACCGTCCTCGAAATGCTTGTGGGGGTTCTTACGAGGCGCGGGGATGGGGGGAACAACGATGCACACGGGAGGGCGGACACAAACCCCTCGTCACGTTAGCACTCGACGATAACAAGTCATTAAAAAAAAAAAGGAGCACAGGTTCAACCTCCTAATGAGTCAGTGAAACTCCGACGAAACAGTTTGTCACAGCCCCTCGTTTGTTGTCCTTTTCTCTCTCTCTGCCTACGGTTTTACCGGGCAGTTCTGTTTGTGACGATATATACTACGACTTCGCTAGCTTCCTGC